ATCACCTGTCTGGCTGGTGTAACAATGTACATGGTATATAATAGTCTTCACACCGACTGTGGGAGTGTCTTGTCTTTATGCAAGATCACAACCTCCATTATACAATGCACTTGTGACCCTGGTTGCATTACTGGTTTCCACCAGCTCTGACAATAAATACTCATGAACTAAATCATATGATCAACTCCATTGTTAATTAATTATTCATTTTTACAGTTTCGTCCTTGGATGACTGACTACTAAAAACCCAGGTATGGTTTTAAGCCGCTTTTAGCAATATTCCAACAATACAGTGTTCACGAATGGTCCTGTAAGTTTAAGATGTCTCTCTGACCCATTGAAAATTCACAGGACCCATGGAATAAAATTTGTCACATGTCACATATAACAACTTCAGTCAAAGTCATTGTGAAATATACAGTCGGACACTGGGGCCGGTGGGTTGTAGACTTCTATCGGACCGTTGGCGAATCTGCCGGATTTGTCAGAGGGTCAGACACTATTCGCGACCACTGACAATATCACGGCTGGGGACAACAGGAATGGGCTTCACACATTGTACCCATGTGGGGAATCAAACCTGGTTCTTCAGCATGATGATCAAATGCTTTAACCACCAAGCTACCCAGTGTACCTCATTGATGATAAAGATAAAAATATTTAAAGACCGACAAAGAACAACAATGATTTTCAAAGGTTTTTATATTTTCAAGTCCTGGGTCAACTCTGCTGTTTTGACATACTGTGATCTCAGAGATCCACATGCTTTCAAATTTGTACCCACATTTCATGTTTTGGTCCCAACTCCGAAAATCGGAATGCTTGGAGACACATTTCACAGGGACTAAAAAATCACAGCCGTATTCTCAATAACTTACGATCAACCCTCAGCACTCGGTGGCTCACAAACACAACACCAGCAATAACCCAATCACAGCAAGCATGGTAAGACCCTTTGAACATATAAATTATTAACATTTTCATGTGCTGATAAGCTATGTCTCTGATAAGAAATTTGAAACGCAAAGCCATGTATTGAAAGACTGCACTGATGTATTGGTAGACATTTCAGTGTGACCTCAAAATATAACTGCGTGGCCTCATACTTAAAACTGAGACTGATATCATGCTTAGGCCCAAAAGAATAAATGTTGTGGTTCCGATTTCCTACATTTCAGAACTAGGGTAGGTAGGTAGGGTTTTGGTTTTTTTTGCAAAATATTTTTACATTACTCATGTGTTAGAAAATAAATTTAATTTATTATGTGGTGAGTAAAATTGTTAGGCTCAGCGGGAATATTTTGGGTCGGTCGGGAAATCGGAACCACAAGCTTTTTTTTTTAGGCCTTAGTATTAGGGTGAATCATATTGACTATTTGCATACCTCTCTTATCATCGGTTTGGTTTTCTGAGTTGCTTTACCTCTTTTTTTTAAGAAACCACACACATATCTTCGCAGGGAATTCATTTGAAATAGGACATAAGTTTGCAGAGGTTTCATATGAGATTGGCATTTGCAGATCAGGGCTGCATTTAGTGTTTTGTTACTTGTGCTGGTGCAACCAAATATCACTAAGTGCAACCTAGTTATTAGTTGAACTTGCACCAGGTGCAACTCATATTTTGAGTGCGTAAACTCTGAATAAAACATCTAAATAATTCAATAGCATATTTCTTACATTAAATATTTCAATAAAAGCAGTGCATCTGGAATGTGGCTGGTGCAACTAGGTTTTTATCTTAGGTTGCACCTGGTGCAAGTAGATTAACATATCTTAAATCGAGCCCTGCAGATGTTTCTTTTGAGAGAAATTGCACAGGTTTCTTTTGAGATAGGAGATATGTTCGCACATATTAATTACATTTGTATACTCATCAGCTCTCTAAGTTGTTTTTTCCAATTGGTTTTACTTTTGTTTCCAGAAGTCTGAGATAGGACATAGGTTGGCACAGGTTTCATTCCAGAGAGGACATTAATTCAAAGAGGTTTCATTTGAAATAGGACATAATCTTGCAGAGGTTTCTTTTGAGACTGGGCAGATATACACAGGTTTCATTTCAGATAAAACATATGACCATTTCATACTGACCATAAGCATATTCATCAGTTCTCTAAGTTTGTTTTTCTTATTGGAGGCAAGTATTTTAGGAGCGATGATAATTTCCATGTCAAACAACAGCGGACATAGGTTGTTCAGGTTTCATTCTAGACAGTACATATCTGCCAGTGTTCACGAATAGCGTCTGACCCTCTGACAAATCTGGCAGATTCGGCAAAGGTCTGATAGAACTGTACAACCCGCCGGCCCCAGTGTCTGACTGTATATTTCACGATGACTTTGACTGAAGTTGTTATATGTGACATATGACACTTGTTTGCTGTTTATAAATCTTATGTTTGTTAATAATTTCAATGCCAATTATGAGAAATGTTAAATCTGAATTTAATTTTATTCTATGGGTCCTGTGAATTTTCAGTGGGTCAGACAGACATGTGAAGCCTACAGGACCCAATGTCCTGTTTCTTTGAAACACCATTCGTGAACACTGATCAGCGAAAGGAATTCATTTGAAACAGGACATGTAGAGTTCGCAGAGGTTTCATATGAGGTTGAACATATGTTTGCAGAGATTTCATTCGAGATAAGGTATAAGTTTGCAGAGCTTTCATTTGAGATTGGACATAAGTTTGCAGATGTTTTTTAGACAGCAAGTTGCACAGGTTTCATTTCAATCAGCACGTGTTCCCAGGGGTATTTTTGAGATAGGACAGGCATTCATGCAAGTTACATTTGAGTTATGACATATGGTCGCAGGGTGTTCCCTTGAGACAGGACATGGATTCGCATAGGTTTCATTTGAATTAAGACACATTTTGGCACAGGTTTCATATGGAACAGGAAAAATGACCGTGGGATCGATTTTGAGAAAGGACATATGTTCGCTGTTGTTTAATTTGAGATTTGAGCACACCCTGAATATTATTCATAAATGTGAACCTTAAATATCTCCCTGTCACACATAGAGGCAATAACTGACAATAATCCACAAACGATCATCTCATCGTTCAATACTCCACACACTTGTCTTCAGTATGTTGTGGCGGAGTGTACACACGCCCTTCAGGTATTGACAATAACAGGGTATACGTGTCGAGTGTTGTTATCTACCCAGGTATCTGGGACAGATATGTATCTTACTGTCTATGTAGGTATATAGAAGCACCTGCAGCCCTGGGGGGATCGTAAAAAGTCCCCAATCAAAGCAACAGTTGAGTTGTATCTTATATGTTTACCAGGAAATGATGTGTGTAGAGACTTGATATACTACCCGGTTCCTCACGAGGGATTTGTCTGTCTGTCTGACTTATTGGAGCAATATTCGAGCAATATGACGGAGGCCTATTATTTAATCAAGCAGGGCTGTATATTGGACAAGTAAACCTTTGGCAGTTTTGGTGGGGGTTGGGTTGGGTGTTGTTGTAAATAATGGAAGTCTGCAACTTCATCCACTAGGCTTGAGTGAGTGAGTGAGTTTAGCTTTACGCCGCACTCAGCGATATATTCCAGCTTTATGGCGGGCGGTCTGTAAAATAATCAAGTCTGGACCAGACAATCCAGTGATCAACAGCATGAGCATCGATCTGCGCAATTGGGAACCTATGACATGTGTCAACCAAGGCAGCGAGCCTGACCACACGATCCCGTTAGTCGCCTCTTATGACAAGCATAGTCACCTTTTGTGGCAAGCATGGGTTGCTGAAGACCCGGATCTTCACGGGTCCCACTAGGCTTCAGCCCTTGTTTAGTAGTCAAGTAAATGTCTTGATGTCCCAGATCAGCTTGTACTGAGCAATACATTAAGACAAATATTGACTAGAGCGGTGGGGTAGCCTAATGGCTAAAGGGTCTGCTTGTTATGCTGAAGACCCGTGTTCGATTCCCCACATTGGTACAGTGTGAAGTCTGGTGTCCCCGGCTGTGATATTGCTGGAATATTGCTGAATGCAATATCATGGCAAGGGAGAAGAGAAATGGGCTTCCCATATAGGGTATACCCTGAAGGGAAATGAACCTGGTACTTTGACGTAACAAGCAAACACTTTACCAACCAGGCTACCCCAAACAACTAAAAACTGCCTTATATAGTAGTATCAAGTCGCAAGAAGGGACAAAACAATTCATGACATGTTTACTGCACATCATTAGGCCGAGACATGAGGTTCATACTGATATCAGATGTTTTATATGTCAGTGTTAGTGTTAACGGAAAAACCTGCGTGTTTCACGCAAATAAATCTACATTAGCGTTTTTTGTTCTGAGAACAAGTAACTGCAAAACATATTTTGCCCAAGGAAACAACAAAATAAATAAAGTTTCTCCCAGCTAATTTGACTTGCGAATGACAACATGCTCTAAAATGCAAGGAAATGACGTCTAAATTTCAAAATTTTACAGGGGAACTGCGGTGCATGCACACACAAGATTCTTGAGGATCTGTGTTTTAGGAACACAGAGCTTTTTTTCCTACCGCGAATGCTGTATGTGTGAGTATATCGTGTCATCACTGAGTTGCGATACTGTGACATCAGTGAGTGAGTGAGTGAGTAATGATTTACGCCGCATATATTATATATTTCAGCAACATCATGGTGGAGACACCAAAAATGGACTTTACCCATGTGGGGAATCGAACCCATGTTTTCGGTGTGATTAGCGAACACATTAACAACTGGGCTTCACCACCGCACCTTTACATCAATGTAATGGTATTTCGTTTACATCACAGCATGTCAATCTGATGTTTAAACAGCCTGAAGCGATGTAGGGTTTAATCAATTAATCAGTACTATCACCCTGGTGCGACCCACAAGCACAATGGACGAGACAATCTACTACAGTGTGCAGATAACATCATGTGCAATGCAACGTTTTTTATCAGTGTAAACAATAACAACATAGAAAGTGACCAAAAACATGACAGTTGTCACTTTACTTACATATTTTACAAGCTGGCAGTGTAAAACAAAAGAATTCAAAAGTGATTTTTAAAATCCATTTAATTTTAGTTGTGAATATATGCATTAATTATGCTGACTTAGGAAACTAAATCCTGACGCAGTTCAATGTAAACTGTGAATAGAATTACTTTGTGAGGTGATGGTAGCTTAACAGTGAGTAAGGTTTGAGCTGCTTTTTGCAATATTCCAGCAATATCCCGGTGGGGGACACCAGAAATGGGCCAAAAATATTGTACCCATGTTGGAAATCAACCTGAGCCTTCAGCGTGACGATCGAAAGCTTTACCATTAGGTTACCCCAACGCTATTGTGTACTGTACAAACATTGATTTTATCTTTTCATCTGTAGGACAAATCAATGTGATCCATATTTCTCAGACCGAACTACAAACAAAAACAATTTTGTAAATCTGCGAAAGTAACGAAATGTGACACAAAACTGGAATCTTGTGTATTAAAAATATCATTATTTTTGGCTAGTTTAATTCATTTAGCTTGAAAATTTTAAATGGGGCGTGAGCAAAATATGACTTATTCCCAAGGATAGTCTCAACAGCCCCTTCCGTTCCCGAATAAATTACCAATCTCGTAATAGTATGAATAGTGATAAAAAATAAGGCACCCTCTTAACAGGACAGGTCATGTAGCCTAGTGGTTAAAGCACTTGCTCGTCACGCCTAAGACCCGGGTTCGATTCCCAACATGGGTACAATGTGTGAAACCCATTTCTGACATCCCGTTGTGATATTGCTGGAATACTGCTAACAGAATACTGTGGTGTAAAGGTGTAAACCCCAACCAACTCACTCTTGAAATAAAATAGGCCTGATAACGTGACAAACTGACTCAGCTTATATCAACTTGGGGAGTGTTCACTCAATTTTTATTCTCAGCTTCCTGGTATGCACACATTTCTATTAGGCAATTTCATGATAAATTGTGGTCACCGAATATAGAACAGTCGAAAATACACCAAATCTGTCATATATATGGCTAGGTGCAATGTGAGACACGTAACTATGTGCTTGTCAAACAGTCGTCACTGCTAATGTACACACCTGAGAAGGTGAGAGTGTTGACACAGGTAATGTTGACAGTGTCTACGACATGTCTCAGGTATCAGGCATCGTGTCATTATGGCCATATGGCATGCCAGACTGACTGATTTCTTGGATGTTTTTGGCTGAGTCACCTGACTATTTAACAGGGTTTAACTGTGCCAAGTCTCTTTTTGTGAAAGAAATTCTGAATGTCAGTTTTCTCTCTACTGCCCTACATAAAAGTTTGTCTGAATAAATATGATATCACTTCTGTCCTAAAAGATGAATGTATTTATCAACAGGAAAATAGTGCACCAGGAGCAAGTCCAAGGCCCAAAAAAGTTTGAAAAGCAAATTTTTCTCTTGAGCTTTAGTTTTTTTGAAAAGCAAATTTTGCTTTTGTTTTTTCTCATTGAGCTTTCAGGAAGTTTTTAACCCCCCAAAATTTTGAGGACCAAAGCCGCCTGTAGAAGGGGGTCGCCTTATCCATGAGTTTTTGCTTTTTCCAGGGGTTTCATGCAAACAACAGAAATCAATGTTCCAACTGATGGAACATAATGACGGGTCTGTAAATAATCAATTGGGGGTCGGACCAGACAATGACCAGTTTGGGGGTCGATTTACGGTCATCATCAAGCATCGATTCACATCATGAGCACACACAGTTGGGATAACGATGACATGTCAACCAAGTCAGCGAAGCCTGACCACCTGATCCCATTAGTTGTCTTACAAGAAGCATGGGCTGCTGGAGACCATTTCTAAACCATATCATCCAAAGAGAATGAGGGTTGGAGTTTGAGGGTAATTGTTGGGTGAAGGAGGCAAAAAGGCGTTATACAACAAGGAATAACAACTGGGTAGTGTGTGATTGCAATGGTGATTTATAACACAGGTCCACTTTACGCTTCCGTTGGACTTTCCACATCGTGCCGCGGCGACGCATACTCACCATCGCTCTCGCATTGACCTGAAGGTTCGACTCGGTGCAGTTGTACCAGTTCTGGCCATCTCGCTGGGTGAAGTGGCAGCCGGAGTACCGAGGCGCCAGGGTGTTACTGGTGTTTAGGGCGATAATCTGGTGATTCTCCAGATTCAATACTGACACTTTTCGGTGCAGTTCTGAAAGGAAGAGACGTAACAGTAAGCGATCAGGGCTACCAGTCTGTATCCAAAATGTTTGATATTGCTGGCCGAAATATTTCATAATTGTTAATAGATTAATATTATCATATGGACACATATTCATCGTTGCTTATTAGACCAAACAGAATTTTACAAAATTTGGGTTTCAGAGGCCGAATTGACAGACTTAACCCCATACTGAAACCATCATGGTAAAAACATGAAGTTAATGGCATAAAATAATCCTGTCATGCTATGGGTTGGCGTATTTTATTTATTGCCGAATCATTTCACTGAGGTGTAGGTCAAGGCCAAGGTCATCAGTGACTAAAGAACACGGCAGAGACCCAAATGAGATAACTGTGCTGTTAGATTTTTGTGTCTTTGGACAGAGTGCCGATATTTTGGCATTTGTGCACTCAACACAATAAACAAGAAATTTGGTAAGCTATAAGTTCAAACTCTGAGTCGGAGTTCAGACTAGGAATCGGAAAGTCACAATAATTGAAGCTGCTGAAGTCGCTACCAATGTCAGGATTGAAGTTTGTCATCCAAGGCTCATGTCGTAGCTAAATCTGTTGTCTTGAAACTAGGAAGGGATATTTTTTATGGATGTCAACTATTTATCATGAGAAACACAACATTTTGGGGTATATCCTTCTAAATGTCATTCAAAGACTTAGGTCTTGAAATTAGTCTGTCTCACAGTCCCTGAAACCACATTCCCTACAACCTTGCCGACCCTGGAATGCTAAAGCCCTAAAAGAAGCAAGTCTAGATTTCCCAGGTTCTGAATCTCCAATCTCACTGGGGCTCCTTTTCAATTTATATGAGATTATTTGTTACTGTCAAAATTATATATATATTCAGAGACTAAGCATAAGTCTATCTTGAAATGGGTGTATCGTTTTAAAGAGATATTTACAGTGAACATTGTTAAATTCATCCTGAAACAACTTGGTGTGTTAATCCTGTTGCATCCTTTCTTCTGTATAGTGCTGGGGCCAGGGGAGGAAATAACTTTAAAATTGACAGTGTACTCCGTTACAGTGGCACATGTAAAGTCACTTGCCCTGATAATTTTCCCACTACCGACCGTTTTCTTGCTGATTTTTTAAATAAACAACATAATTAACATTGGAAAGTCAACTGGACACTGGTACAGTGTGATATACAAATTTGCTTGCCCGACAGAAAAAACACTGGACTCGGACGTCAGGCAATGGGTTATTTCCACCCCTGTGGGGCGGTGGGATAGCCCAGTGGTTAAAGTGTTTGCTTGTCACACCGAAGACCCGGGTTCAATTCCCGACATGGGTACAACGTGTGAAGCCCATTTCTGGTGACCCCACTGTGATATTGCTGGAATATTGCCAAATACGGCATTAAACCAAACTCGCTCTCTCACTCTGTATAGTGCTAAGACTCTGTCAGTTACATTATACACCTTGACGCCAGTGTTTAGCTGTTTCAAGACACGGCCCTTAACTAGCGAACTCTTGAACAAGGACTACAGTACTTGTCCCAGCTTCGATAGCCTGGGCGACTAGTTGCACCCACCATTCAAATAACTTGCTTCAAAAGATCAATGTTTATTGTTCGACATTGCCATTGAAAGATTCGAACTGCATGCATTATAAGGACATGCAGATCAAACACTGAATACAACCACTCAAGCCTGTGAAAGGAAGCTCCATATTTCCGTTCAGTCAACAGCAAGGAAAATCAACAAAACAATAAATTGATGTAAGTTATCCAGCTTCTAACGCCCATGATGACAACATGCAGTCCTATCCTTTGTCATGGGGGTTTAAAACCAGCTTATACTTAATACAATCTGAACAATGCCGTGTTATAAGAAGGTATGATTGATGTGTCACTATGGTAACAATACAATAACAATTTGCTTCATAGGTCAGCGGGTACATGGATGGGGTCAAGGTCATTAGTTTATGACCAGGTGAAGCACTGAACACTATTTGCAAGTAGACATAGAGAATCTCACCCAAGTGTCTACTAGGGCTGTAACGAATACACTATGTGGTGAATATGATACGTATCACTAATATTGGGTAACGAATACAAATAGTTATTCATGAATACAATATTGAAGTTAAGTGATTGATGCACAATATTGATTGCCCATGTTGACAGTGTTAATTTGTCACAGCAATAACCAGTCATCTCATGACACTCAAATTTGGTACCGGTATCTAATAGTTATGTTGACAGTAACATGTGCGGCCTTGGAAAACTAACATGACTTGCGCTACTACAAGGCTAGTACATATTGCATTCTTGCATATCTCATTTTGAAAAAGGACATAAGGGTTCAAGTAAAACGGACACCTTTAAAAAAATTGTAAATATTCATGAATATTCGGTTCTGGTGACCACGAATAACGAATTGAATTCATGAAGGGCTTCGGTTCGATTCACCAAATATGCGAGTGAATCGTTACAGCCTTAGTGTCTACTGATATCAATTATATCAACACGAGTTGATAAAGTTACAAATATCTGAGGCTTGCTGAGGATATTTATACTTTATCAACGAGTGTTGATATATTTGATATCAGAAGACACGAGGGTGAGATTCTATTTATCATCCAAAATCACTCTTCATTAATTTTCAATGAAAAATGTACATCTCTGAACATGGTACTGCCATTAGACTTGCAGTGCAGCGATGTCATAGCATTGTGACGTCATAGCATTGTTAGGGCATTGTCAAAAACTGTCAAAACGATATCTCCTAGGAGATATCGTTTGATCTCACACAAGCGATATCTCCTGTGGAACACAGTTTGGGATGATAAAGCATTTTATATACATATACTAGTTTAAATAGCTCTCTACTCCCTTAGGTTTGGAAGAAAAAAATCATAGTTAACAAACTTTGGTGAAGAGTTTAGGTCAAATGATATATAAAATAACAACTCTTGGTATAATTTGCATACCCAATATAACTGAACACAGACAGGTTATCGCAATACCTACTACATTCTGAATTTGATTCCGATGCTGTTCAGCTTAATACAAATTTTGCACACATCACTATTTTAACCTACCGCGTGACATGGAGTCCTGTGGTGGAAGAACAACTACAAATGGTAATATTCATTTCACTAGATTGTCACGATATATTAAGTTTTGGGCCATATTGTGATGAAAATTCCATACAAGAGTTAATTTTCTTTTTACCATGTTGACTTAATTACTGACTGACTGAGTTCGGTTTTACGCCGCTTTTAGCAATATTCCAGCAATATCACGGCGGGGGACACCAGAAATGGGCTTCACTCATTGTACCTATGTGTGGATTCGAACCCGGGTCCTCGGCGTGATTGACTTAATGAATCCATGTACAGGGATTTACATCGAGTCCTGTATTTGAGGGTCCCTGGGACTCATACTCTTAATTTTCAGAGGTCCTGGACAACAACATGGGGGTCCCAGACACTTAAATATTATTATTAATACTGTTATTGTATTGTGTATCATGATCATCACATTGTTACAGTAATTAAATTGCAAATAATACCATAACCCAGCTAGTAGCAAATTCAGTGATAACTTATTGTCACTTGATTGGAATTTTTACAAAAAACTATATGGACATTTTCTGAGTCCCTGTGGACATGCATAGATTTTGTTGTGTCCATTGTCAATATTTATTATTATTATTTATTATAGGATATTTATATAGCGCACATATCCACGCACTAGTGCATGCTCAAGGCGCTGGTATTTTTTCCCTCAATCATTGGATGTCAATCTCAACGGCACATCGCATTATCAATCTCAACTCCCTGGGGAGTATACAACTCTTGCAGCCACTAGGCGCACCGAGTTATTGTAACTTTCTCATCCTAACGAGGTATCCATTCACAGCTGGGTGGACTGGGACACATAGTCACAGTACTTTGTCCATGTTTACTGCACGTTGCTATACCCGCAACTAGGTGTTTGCACGTATTCATGTGGCCACCATCTGGTCAAATACCAACGGATTCGTGGGTTCTTTTAAGTGCACAGGGTTGTGTACTGTACACTAGGGGGTTGTGACAACACGGAAAGAGCCTGCACACAAAGTTTACTCCAAGGTTTCTACACCCGGTCACAGGTGGTCTCGATCCCGACACCTCAACCTCGCTGTATACTAGCCTGGCGCCTTAGCCCGCTTGCCCACCGCGCCCCAATATTTCTAAAAAAAATTATGAGTATAGGACGCAGGAATTCGTGTCCGGTAAATCCCTGCATGTACCTTCACCAAAAAATAGGGGCGGCGGGGTAGCCACGTGGTTAAAGCGTTCGCCTGTCACGCCAAAGACACAGCTTCGATTCCCTACATGGGTACAATGTGTGAAGCCCATTTCTGGTGTCCCCCGCCGTGATGTTGCTGGAATATTGCTAAAAGCGGTGTAAAACCATACTCACACACTCACCAATAAATAAACACAAATTAAATAATCTCATTATCTGAAACCATCTGTCTCGTAACTCTGTAAATAGCAAAACTCATATGGCCGTTTCTATCCGTGGTGATGGTGGTTTTTTCAGCAATGTAGCATACCTGAAGGGCCAGATTAAGGTGTGTTGCTTTGTAAAGTGATCACCATACAATCCAGGGAACAGACAGATGGTAAATCATTTCCATTTATCACAGGAATTGAGACCAGTTGCAGTTGCATGCATGGTTACCAAGGATATTTCCAATATTATCCCGATATTTCTAACAAGTGTGACAATTGTCAGGCATGTTTCGCATATGAGTCGTAAAAATCAATAGACTGGTTTCTTGTCCAATAACTGTTAAAACTCAGTTTGGTATTTTATGGCAAAATATGTAGGTTGGTTTGTTGTTTAACGACACACTTCGCAATATTCCAGCTATAACTATAAGGCGTTGGTGTGTAAATAATCTAGACTGGATCAGACAATCAAGTGATCAAGATCATGAGCATCGATCTACACAAATGATGTGTGTCAACCAAGTCAGCAAGTCTGACCATCTGATCACGTTAGTCGCCTCTTAAGACAAGCATGAGTTGCTTTTCGGAAGACCAATTCTAAGGCCTAAAAAAATGTTGTGGTTCAGATTACCAGACCAACCCTTGAATTCTGGTGCCCACCCTATTATTTTAAAGCGGACTGAATAGAATAAGCTTTCAGACACAGTCAGATCCTTACACAAAGAGATCCTGACACAGTCAGATCCTTACACAAAGAGATCCTGACACAGTCAGATCCTTACACAAAGAGATCCTGACAGTCAGATCCTTACACAAAGAGATCCTGACACAGTCTGATCCTTACACAAAGAGATCCTGACACAGTCAGATCCTTACACAAAGAGATCCTTACAGTGTCAGATCCTCACACAGAGATCCTTACACAAAGAGATGCTGACACAGTCAGATCCTTACACAAAGAGATCCTGACAGTCAGATCCTTACACAAAGAGATCCTGACACAGTTAGATCCTTACACAAAGAGATCCTGACAGTCAGATCCTGACACAAAGAGATCCTGACACAGTCAGATCCTGACACAAAGAGATCCTGACACAGTCAGATCCTTACACAAAGAGATCCTGACAGTCAGATCCTTACACAAAGAGATCCTGACACAAAGAGATCCTGACACAGTCAGGTCCTTACACAAAGAGATCCTGACACAGTCAGATCCTTACACAAAGAGATGCTGACACAGTCAGATCCTTACACATAGAGATCCTGACAGTCAGATCCTTACACAAAGAGATCCTGACACAGTCAGATCCTGACACAAAGAGATCCTGACACAGTCAGATCCTTACACAAAGAGATCCTGACACAAAGAGATCCTTACACAAAGAGATCCTGACACAAAGAGATCCTTACCTTATTTTTCTTGTAGACAGCATCCCACTGGGAAGCCGCGTCATAATAAAGCAACACTTCCTGTGTCCCGTAGTCCTGCAACAGAGGGAAATATATAATATCTTTGTCCATGTATATGAGTCAGATATTTCTATGCCCTACAGACAGACGTATTCCAGCAGTGTGTTGATGGCATCTGTTTAACAAACACCAAACTACAGGTTCACACTGTACTCCTATTGGCAGCAATAGAATCTCATGACGGGGCGGTCGGGTGGTTAAAGCATTTGCTCGTCACGCAGAAGACCTGGGGTTGATTTCCCACATGGGCACAATGTGTGAAGTCCATTTCTGGTGTCCCCCGCCATGATATTGCTGGAATATTGCTTATATTGGTGCAAAACCTCACTCATTCATGACAAAATATTGGATCAACTGATTGACTGGCAGCCTACTTGCTGGATAATTCCATCTTTATATTGTTATCCTAACTTGTCAATGTGCTTGTTTCCAAGTTTCTAATGTATTACATCAGGGTTCATTGTTTTTTAAAAGCCACTTGTTTACAGGGCAAGTGACTTACATCAGGGTTCAAAAGAAAGTAACTTGTCCTGACTAATTATCCATTTGCACTGATTTTATGACATAATTATGATGATGTAATTATGAAAGAAGAAATCAACATGGTATTTGATGTTAATGTTTACTGGACTATTTATTGAAAAGTGATAAATAGCAAAGAAAGATAACTCTACTTTATTATCATTGCGAAATTTAATAGCTACGTTTTGAGCAGATATGAAATTAAATCAAAGTTTATTTGCAGTTTGAAACCATAAGTGGAAATTATCTAGTAGCCCACGGACAAGTAAGATACCATTATTTGATTGCCCGAAATGAAAAGTGACTTGTCCTGGGCGTCGGGCGATGGGATTTTTGAACCCCTGTACATGTTAGAATTCAGGCTGGCTAGGCTGTTGATCTAATCAAACATGTAAGATAAGGTCAAACTTTATGGGTAAACAGCGTCCTTATTCAGGTGATACGACGTTTCGATACATTCTTGTTTCGTTGTCAAGCAGGTATGCGTCAAAACAACGCATCAGCTGAATGAAGAGATTGTTCATCCATAATGTTTGTTCTTGACTCCAATTTCTAAAAACGCCACTCAAAGAAGTAATCCAACACGGTTTATCTCTAGACATCAAATCTGTTGAAGTTCAATTAATAATTATATATTCATAAATTATCTCCATGTTCAGTCAATTTAGTCTGGAATATAGTCACTCATAAAAGTGGACTTAATTTATTCTAGAGACTATACTCCCAACTCACGTCATAATGTTTCATTTCATTCTGTCACACCGAATGTCAACAAACAGCGCAGGTGTTGATAAACGTGACTGACTCATTCAAGCAAATAGGTGCTTGCTAGGGGCAAATCTGTAGCCTGAATATGTATCTTGCTTATATGGCGTACTGATGTTTATTGTGGATATCAAAGGTGATTTAGTGCTTTGATGTAAAAAAGTCGATTTCCCAGCAATCTTAATCATGTTATTGTGTGTTAACGTTCAATGGTTCATCTTGTTTTTTGTTCTGTTGGAAGGGAGATGAAAGACACCTCTTAAGCATTTATAAGAAAACAGACAGTGTCCTCTGTTTTGCACAAACCCATGAAGATCCATGTTAGAGGTGGTCTTCATCAGCCCATGCCTATCATATGAAGCGACTAACAGGATGGGGTGGTCAGGCTGGCTGAATAGGGTTGGCCATCGTGTCCCAACTGCGTAGATCGATGCTCATGCTGTTGATCACTAGATTATCTGGCACTAATGGCAGGGGTTCAATTTTTTTTTAAAAAGCCACTTGCCACAGGGCAAGTGACTTTAAGAAAGTAACTTGTCCTGGCTAATTTTCCACTTGCCCTGATTTTTATGACATAATCATGATGATGTAATTATGAAAGAATAAATCAACATGGTATTTGATGTTAATGTTCACTGGACTATTTATCGAGAAGTGATAAATGGCAAAGAAAGATAACTCTACTTAATTATCATTGCAAAATTTAATAGCTACATTTTGAGCAGATATGAAATTAAATCCAAGTTTATTTGCAGTTTGAAACCGTAAGCAGAGATTATCTAGCAGCCCACGGACAAGTAAGATACCATTATTTGATTGCCCGAAATGAAAAGTGACTTGTCCCGGGCATCGGGCGATGGGATTTTTGAACCCCTATCTGGTCCAGATTTGATTATTTATTTAAACAACCAACCAACTTTATCATGTTTTGAATAGTTTACGTTTATTTTTTAGTGTTAAGCATCATCATTATATGAGTGGCGACGAATATGACCAAGCAAAAAACATTCAAGAGCTAATCAGACTTTCTGCGGAAATTTTGCTAAATACAGTAAAATATGTTTGGTTTGTTGAGTAAATCTAATCTCAACAGTGAATCTGCAGATAATTGTGGTTAATTGAGCCTATAATACTCGATCCCGATCTGACGACAAGCATGGGTAGCTGAAGATTGATTCTAACCTGGATCTTCACGGGGGAGACAAGCATGCTTTCCTGAAGATCAGTTCTAACCAGGATCTTCATGTGTGGATGCAAGTATGTTTTCCTGATGACTAATTCTAACCCGGATCTTCACGGGGAGGACAAGCATGCTTTCCTGAAGATCAAATCTAACCAGGATCTTCAATGGTCATGTACTTACCACTGGGTACATAAAGCTATATACAAGGGAGCCTTTTGATGACAGGAAGCAGAACCTGCCGAGGAACTCCCAGTCCTGAAACAGAAGAAAATAGGAAATAATTCCACTGAAACATGTTTCACAGTGTTCTAAATAACATGTGTATTTGCATAAAATATGACCAATGAATCACCATTGAATCCTTTTTAATAAATGGCCAGTCCAAAAACCTAAGTAAATAGGAATTCTGTGCATACAAATACACATTTACAATTTACAAAACTATAGTTATAATGACACTGTGTGACACTGTGCATCACTAACCACTCTAATCTTACGTCTTACATACTATTATGTAGTGCCCAAAAAATGTCTGAGTCCCATGATGAGATTCGAACCACAGACCTTCTGATTTGAAGTCAGACACCTTGTCCACATCACCAAACACTTAACCGTATGAGCAGGCTGACAAAGTAAGAATGTAAGTAGCGGAATGACGCCACGCTCCGCTACACCTAATCACTGATGAATGTATTCATTACGTACACACGACCTCTAGTGTAGTGAATTATGCATGACGTGCTATGTCTGGCATATCATACTGTCCTACTGATCCTGAAACAAGTATATCTAATACAGCCACAGCAAGTCTATAATCTGTGGCAAGTCTTGATTATTTCAGTTTCTGAAAATGAAGAACTTTCTGGGCTCCTTCTTGTTATCTTTTATTAAAATAAATAAAACTGTATTTTTCTGTAAAATATATTCATTTTGATTTTACATTGCTTTTAGCAATATTCCAGCAATATAACGGCAGGGGACACTAGAAACGGGCTTCACACATTATACCCTGAGGGGGAATCGAACCCGGGTCTTCGGCGTGACGAGCCAACGCTTTAACCACTAGGCTACCCCGCCGCCCCATTCATTTCAGAGACAGATGTTAGCCTAGGCATATCATAACCTAGACATTAATACTGTGAGCAGCCTTGTGCATTAGTCACATGACATACACGTGACACATAAGCACGGTTGACCTTGATTACTAATTTCAAGGATTCTCACAGGAAATTTGTGGCTATTGAAAACAAAGCTCCAGATAAGATTTAGCTCATGTGGGTACTGTATCCACTGTAATTTTTTTGGAGTGGGTATTTTGAATGTTGAGTGGGTATTTCATTTTCCGTTACCCACTGCTTTCAAATATGTGCGTATTTCAGTCATTTTACTCACCTAAGTATTATGTCATTGAGTAAGTTTACTAAGCAGGTATGTTCTGCCTTATGTCATAGCCATTTTACAACAAACGCATGACTTTTGGTGTGAAAAATGGAAATATCCGAAGAAATTACGAAGTTTTCTGTATGCATGTCAAAATACCGGTTTTCGATCAGCGTATCACAATACGTATTGTTTTCATGTCTGAACTGGTAAATACCGGTAAACCGGTTATATTGCGCAGCCCTAGCCATGACACTGTGTTATTTACTACCGGTAATTAACGACAATGGTCACATAGAATGAAAAAATTAATGTTTCATAAAATCAGCCAAGAGTATTATTACTATCTGCAAAAGTTTACTAAACTAATTAGCAAAGATTTATCAATAACGTGGCTTGTGAGTGCGGAGCATTCATCAGATGGCTTCTAATTAATGGGTAAAGATAGACGCCAGTCAATATCCCGGGCTCCAGATAAGGGTCGTATCGGCGTACGTACAGATAAAACCTATGCATGATACGGTAGGAAATAATTTAGAAAACGTAGCAGATACGCACCACAGCAATGGTGTACGGTCTTAGAATCATTTACAGACATATTTATCTGAAAAGGTACTGTTTTATTGTTTATTGACCTTTACACAAGAGTAGCAATGTTGTGGTGCATATATGAAACGAAACACAAGATTACTGATACTCCATTAATTTCCATTCAGTACTCTAAATGTAGGCTTAAGGTTTTCCAGTACTCCTATATGGAACAAACAAGGAGTACGTACTCCTGAGTTTGAAAAATTATCAGGAGCCTTGAATATCTCACAGATCAGACCACTGGTAATAAGAGTTACATATACTACTCACAGGAAGTTAAGGACCATCCAGTTCTTCAATGTTAAACTAGTCAATCTGTCATGACATGATGTGACTTAACATGACGTGACATGACATATTAACTATAGTAATATCATAGAAGTCTTTCTCTATTTCTATGGTAATATGAAAGATTATGGTTTTCTTTAGGCATGACACATTAACTATATTAACGATGAATGTGTGATGGTTCTTCACGTTTTGAGTAGCGCATAACATGCTAATTTATCTTATTTAGTGTTAATTTCTATTGTCCTTTCTCGAAATATATCATGAGCAACACTATTGTAATGTATGTAATACATGCTAACTCTTCTTGCTTAGTGTTAATTTCTATTGTCCTTTCTCGAAATAGCATCTCGAAACGTGTAATGGGCAAAAACACTGCTGTAATATGTAGGGCTGGGACGATTCACCGATGCACCGATACATCATGATACCTGTAAGTTTGATACAACTATCGTATCGTCGACTGGTGTATCGATACAAAACGATACACAACCTTTTTTCAAAACAGTATTATCTTAAACATGTTATTGTTTAAGTACTTATTTAGAGAAAAGTATGCATGTATGATAGAGTTACTTTTTAGTTTATTACAATAGTGTTATTGTTATACACAAATACCTTGAAATAAACCATTATAAATCTTAATACTGTGTCATTCTTTCAAGGTGTATGCATTGTGATACGTATCGTATCGCAGGTGAAATATCGTATCGTGACAAAGTGTATCATCCCAGCCATAGTAATATGATGGTTATTAATGTAGTATGACATGAAAGTGTTAATGTTTATTTATTTTTTTGTTTTTTTTTGTTTACTTGATAGTGTTAAGTTATCAAGACCATACTTTTTAAACATTCTGCTCATAAAAAAAAAAAAAGGAAAATATAAGAAACATAAACATGAAAAGAGTGAATTGTTTAACACATTTCAAAAACAAAATAATTTACTGTCATTGCATGATTAAAAGAAATTTGTTGATAATACAATAACAATTTGTCTTACCAATTCAAAAGAGAACCAATTATGATGAATAGTTAAAAAAATACAATGGATTTACTTTTCCTTTATTTTTTTACCTACCAACCTGAATGTTTTGGACAAAACTCTGTAAAATGCCCTCCAAACATTAAAAGTGTCTTGCCTTGTGAAGCCAGGATATAATTGTTGGTAAATAAAAGGGCTGCAATGAATCCACTAGTAGCTGAATACCCCAAATATTGGGTAACTAATATGATATTATGTAGGGTCAAATTTGGTTTAAATATCTAAGCTTATTGTAAGCATGGATCCTAGGTTTCAGTATGTAACTGCATCTTGTGGATCCCATACCTGCTATTGACAGGTGTTGTGTACTTGTCAATGACCCGTACCATGATTTGCAAAATGGTTGATTGGTGTTATGCAAACCATTTTTAGGGTTACTCATGTATCAAGTGCAATGAATCTACTAGTAGGTGAATACCCCGAATATTGGGTAACTAATACGATATTAAGTAGGGTTGGGTACCACGAAAATTTCAGTACCACCGTATACCAAGGATTTTGTTCAAGTACCATGGTATTTACTAGGGCTGTAACGAATACACTATGTGGCGAATATGATACGTATCACGAATATTGGGTAACGAATACAAATAATTATTCATGAATACAATATTGAAGTTAAGTGATTGATGCACAATATTGAATACCCATGTTGACAGTGTTAATTTGTCACAGCAATAACCAGTGATCTCATGACACTCAAATTTGGTATCTAATTAGTTATAGCTGACAGTAACATGTGTGGCCTTGGAAAACTAACATGACTTGCGGTACTACAAGGCTAGTACATATTTCATTCTTGCATTTTGAAAAAGGACATAAGGGTTCAAGTAAAACGGACACCTTTAAAAAAATTGTAAATATTCATGAATATTCGGTTCTGGTGGCCACGAATAACGAATTGAATTCATGAAGGGCTACGGTTCGATTCACTGAATATGCGAGTGAATCATAACAGCCTTAGTATTTACCATGGTAAATTTTGATATAGCATGCTGCAGTGACTACTACCTCATGAATCCAATTGTTTAATGATTTTGAATGAACTGGACCATGAAGTAATGTCATAACTATAACAGGCTTCTTTTTATTCTGTGAATTTCAGTCATCACAACAGGAAGATGAAATCTGAAAACTTCAAAACTGAGCTCACTGCCAAGTTCAACAACTCAAACACTATGAACAAAATAAATAATCTTGTTAATTCCAATAAGTCAACGACATTAAGCTAACATAACTTGACAATATCACAAATGATTTCACAAAAATCACATTGACTAGAAATATTAGAAGACTGAGCAATGAGATTCTTGAATTCAGCATTATATTCAGGTATTAAATTACTAGGAGTGCAAGTTTTAGTTTGCAAAAAAACACATCACTAGTCATCACAAAGAGGAATAGTAAACTGAGATGATATCCTTCATAAACTTCCATATGAAATTGAAAATTTCAAAACTAAACCAAATCTATTAATCATCAATGCCATTGCCAGTACTTTCCGTTCGCGTATTTTCTTCATTCAATCTACATTGGATAGAGGCATTTTAGAGAAAACATATAAAGAAAAAATAGTGAGATCAGAAATTTTGCAAACAAATATCTTTGTGAAGAGAGAATAGTGTTTTATTTGAACAAAAAAACCCTGGTGCTCTGCAACCTTCCTCGGTACGTACTGGCTGATGCAAAACACCACAGTTTTCCGGTTAACCGGTAAAACCGCCCATCTCTAATATTTAGTCAGCAGTTGACATGTTATTCAATAAATTCCCTGAAACAATAACAAAACAATCCTTGGACATGTTTTGACCATGCTGACAGGGTTGATTTTTACCCTGACAATGACCAGCGAACACATTACTGTCAAAATCAGTATATACTATTTACACTTTGCTAAGGATCAATCTTTGACCCCACATCATAGTGCCATGAATTGCAAAATGGTTGATTGGTGCCATGAAAACCATTTTTATGGTTACTCATGTATCAAGTGCATACGGTTAGCTTCAAGTGGCTGTTTTCCTAAAGATGTGTTACCATATCATTATTTATCCAGTTTTAAATGGATACTATTTCAAATTATAAATCTATGTTTAAGTAAAGTTGCGAATTTTTGTGATCCTTATCAAAGTGTGAGTAGTATGTAAGAATGTTGGCTATTAACCTGTCCTGTATTCCATTTTCAATATCTCGTTTAGATAAATTATACTCAAATTAAAGTGTTTTTAATAAATTCATTAATATTCAATTCTAGTGACCCTGAATAACAAACTGAATTTATGAAAGGATATGGTTCGATTTGCAAAATAAGTGAGTGAATCATAACAGTTGTAGGAAATAAGCATCCTTATGTTTATAAGTGATGGGTGAGTGAGTGAGTTTAGTTTTACACCACATTCAGCAATATTCCAGCTATGTGACGTCAGTCTGTAAATAATCGAGTCTGGACCAGACAATCCAGTGATCAACATCATGAGCATCAATCTATGCAATTGGGAACCGATGACATGTGTCAACCAAGTCAGCGAGCCTGACCACCCGATCCCGTTAGTCACCTCTTACAAGCACAGGCTACTGAAGACCAATTCTAACCCGGAACTCCATGGGTGACAATGACTAAGGTCTTTTACATGACTTTTGATAAGATCCTTTTATGTGAACTTTGTTTATAAATTAGGTTCTTACAGATCAAGAAGCTAAGAAGGAAATTAATTAGTTCAAATGCTGATGGAAATATAACTGTTTTGAAACAACAAACAAAAACATTAATATTCACTCTTGGCTTTGCTGTTTAATTCTGCAATAACAGAATGATATGGGTCACTTTGGAAAATTCATTTATTGTTGTCTTGATTACTGACTGTAAAACACATCAATAAATTATAAAAGATAACTTTACCCCTAAACACAAGCCATTATTTAAGAGTTTACAATGTCTGCGATCCGCCCCTCTTTTTGTAGAGACCCCGAGGAAGTGCACTGTTCTCAGAAAACCTATGATCGGTCGTCTAATCGAAAGTCATGTTAGCCTTGTAGATACAGTGAAATCTTAAGCAATAAGGTCATGTATTCACCTTGTGATATTCATTTTACCCAAGATACATATCATCCATCGGTTAATGAAAATCAAATGTAAGAATTTATCGAAGTCGATCGTTCAAGGTGTTGGCTGCGCGCCAAGTGATGGCAATCATTTCGCCTATTTGCGAAACTGTTGGTATGAGACTCACATCTCACCTTTAAACTGTTTAGACTTTTGCAATTAAAATAAGTCTCCTAGACACACTTGACAAACATATATATGGAAACATACAGTCATTTAACGCACTTGGTAGTAGATCTAAACAAACACTTTTCTTGACGATGATGATATTCGCTTGCGACAATAACAGGCGGGCCTTTCAGTTTTGCTCTGAAAACATGATCTTGAATAACTTACGCTGTTTGACTGTAAATTCCCTTCAACCCATTTCGCCTCGGAAGATGTAAACTTCACAGAGAGAACACAAACAATTCCTAAAAACACTCGTAAATCCATCTTTCGTCTCTTGTCAACTGTTCGCTCGACGAGGTCTATCTTCGGCCATGACAGTGTACAACGTCACGTGATCACCTCCATGGCAACAAAATATACAGGTGCTCGTCATTGTTAACAAGCTATATGCGTCGTATATCCCGGATCACTGGCTTAATTCACGTCGGCGACCCTGCTGTACATAGTGTTTTAATATCCTGAGCCGGTCAGAAGCTTACAAACAGAGCGCTCAACAATCACGGGCCGATACGGGATAAGAACGCCAATACGGTTATTATAGTGTGGTTCGGCCCGAACAATCTCGCCATTCCCAGCCATGCGTTGAAAGACAGGGAGCGTTAATGCATTGACAGTGATGTTGTGAAATATACCTTAGAACTAAATTGTGAGTGAGTATATACTTTACGCCCCCTTTAGCAATATTCCAGCAATATCACGGCGGAGGACACCAGATATAGGCTTCCCACAATTAATTGTACCCATGATGTGAGGAATCGAACACAGGTCTTCGGCGTGGTGAATGAACGTTTTAACAGCTAGGCTACCCCACCATCCAATTACTACCAAAGGTTAACACATGAATATTCAATATAACAAAACACATTTATCGATCTCTGTCTTTGCAAGAAAACACTCCCTAGAATGTGATGTTTGTTCTGCTAAAAATACCTACCGGTCGACACAATACGACAAGAATATTGTACAATAATAACCATATATTCTGTCAAGGGTTGGAAAGAGATTTCTATAAATACAGTATAATATATACTCATTTTCAATACATTTAAATATAATTTAATTCAATTCATTACATAAACGCTGATAACCACTAGGCCTACATGCATTATTAAATTGATTCTAAACTTGAGATAAACTTGCTTTCAAGCAACGACTTAAATATCTTTGTCCTATGCAGTATATTAATTAACCCATCCAAAGATTTTTGTAATTGTCATTTTCCATGACGTCCCCTGCATATTCTGATTGGTACCAGGGGCGGTGGGGTAGCCTAGTGGTTAAAGCGTTCACTCGTCACGCCGAAGACCCGGGTTCGAATCCCCACATGCATGGGTACAATGTGTGAAGCCCATTTCTGGTGTCCCCCGCCGTGATATTGCTGGAATATTGCTAAAAGCGGCGTAAAATTAAACTCACTCACTCGCTCTGATTGGTACCATGGATGGACCTCGGAGTCAAAACCACTAGCATGGCGAAGACTGTAATAAAAGAATGAGCGGCGCCATTGTCTTTGAAGATACTGTTTCTGTGCCAACGCCTGGCATTCATTTACAAGGTGTTTGCCAGTCTCATTAAAGTCATTGCATAATTTACATCTTATATTTACATTTTGACGTAAAATCACACGTAATGCCATTGACAGTTATAGTGGGAAGTGACCGATCCTGAGCAACAAACAGAAAGCCTTCCGTTTCACTTTTCAGGTCAGGCGATGACTCAACAGAGTTGCTCTTCTCCTCAACATACTGCTCGTAAACTCGGTGCAGCGGTCGTTCAGAGAGCCTTCCTTGGAAAAACTGAGCCAGTTCAGCAGTGTGCGAAATAGTTTCTAAATTTTGCTAGCCAGCCAGGCTAGCTATGCCTGAAAGTTACTAGCCCACAAAATATTTCACTAGCCCGAAATTTGAATGTAGACACAGGTTTCAACATTACCCTGCTAATATGATGAACATTTTTACCAGGACATAATCTTGCATGATTTAAAAGTGTATTATGACTTAACAGGTCGGACAGAGTGTTATATTTACAAAATGACCCCATGAAAATTCATCAGTCAATCCGGACAGTGACTGGAGATTTACTGGTCCGACTGGATTTTTTACTAGCCATGGGCTAGCGGGTCAGTGGCTATTTCGCACACTGCTGTGCCGATTGGCTGACACTCGTATATCTGTACCGTCCAACAGTACAGACCCGTCAATAAAATCAACGTTAAGAGATGTTACCTAACATCCTAGGTTCTTGTTAGATAGCTGAGGAATGGGCTGTTTTCGCTATGAGTTTTGACATGCTTCACAAGAACACCCCCACTTTGGGGAGATCAGGGATAATGGGGACTTGCCGTACCTTTACTACCTCCATGGGCCCTATAGCTGTATTTACATCATCTCTCTAGCAGCTTGCGATTAGCAGCCAAAGTTAAAATAAAAATAGAATTCTCTGATTAAAACCTGGCAACGATAAACATAACTTGAATGGTGTGGTCTTACGAACCCTGAGAAGTCGAGCTGTGGCAAGCTAACACAGACTGACGTTGATGCTGCTGCTCCCTAGACTAACGCTTAGTTCAGTTCAGTTCATTTATTCACCAAAAACCACTCACAGTGGTACATAGGGCAGTTACATAGTGATACATGAATAATGTAATATGGACTGACTGACTGACTGACTGACTGAGTTTGGTTTTACGCCGCTTTTAGCAATATTCCAGCAACGTCACGGCGGGGGACACCAGAAATGGGCTTCACACATTGTGCCCATGTGGGGATTCGAACCTGGGTCTTCGGCGTGAGGAGCCAACGCTTTAACCATTAGGCTACCCCACCGCCCCGTAATATTGATACGAGGCAATATCATTGAAGTTTTGAAAGGTTTACATAAATACATGTAATATATTTGTTTAACTTATCAACAGCTGTGTAATTTCTTTCCATAAAATGACTATGAAGTTTAAAGTAATTATGTCCTGCACAACAATACTTTGGTACTAACTTGTTTCTATCTGCTAATAAAGAATTACACTCTGAATATATATAATTTTGATAGAAAACAAATAACCCCATTTAAATTGAAAAGGAGGTCTCGACTTACTTCACTGAAGTTTCAGCATTGCCCCCTTCCCAGGAAGGTCTGCACGGACTTTGGGTAAACTGGTACCCCTCAAAGAGAGGCAATAATGTACTGAGATATAGCCTGTAAATAATATAAAATATGCACTTTCTAAAGGCGAGAATTTATGAATTTACTTATTTATTCAAATAAATTCATACTCCTTCTTTGAGTTAGAAGTTGGGAAGTACAATATAGAACACACTTTATGGATAACAACTTCTTTTTATTCGTGAGTGCGACGTTTCGATACAGATTCTTGTACCGTAGTCAAGCATAATGGAACACGAAGAAGGGGAAGTATATATATGCTAGATGTAACAATGTAACAAAGAAAACAACATAATTAACATAATTGGCTAGGCAGAAAGCTGATGAAGCCAGAGAGTAGACAAAGGACAGGCGTGGAAGCCAATGATGTACAAATAATAATGAGATGTTTATACAGCAGAGTTTATACAGTAGATTGGGCTTGGTGGATGAGTGCATCATAAGCGGATGGAATGAAGTATCCTTGGTCTCGGTTGATGGTGGGGTTTTGGCGTTTGATGTGGATGGCTTCGGTGAGCTTGCGTTTAGTGAAGTCTGTTTGTTAGAGAGAATGGTGATGTCAGACCACTCTATTTGATGATTGGGGCTTGCTTTGATGTGGTCGGAAATGGCTGATTTGCTGTCGGAATTGGTAACAGAGGTCTGATGTTCTTTCACTCGGGTGTTGATGGGTCGGGACGTTTCAATTCATACTCCGAAACGTCTTGTTCCTCAAATAAATTCTGACTCAGAAAAGTCGTGTTCCTCAAACATATTCTTACTCCGAAACGTCGTATTCCTCAAATAAAGACGTTGACGTCCATAACTTAATGCCTTTATTTGCCTTACTTCTAATTGCCGTTCAAAGACTCTCTGAAATTTCTTCGTAATTATTTCAATGTGTTTCACACCACACATATGTTAAGTGTAAATTTTCCATGTAGACTCTTTCTAATGATGTGATAATATTCTATCTTGTGTAAAATGATAACATTTTTGCTGTATTAGTGCTAATTGTGAAATATGTTCAATATTAAACTTGAATAAATATATCCTGTAAATAATTCAAATATGCGATTTCTGGTGAATGCTTCAAACTGGGTGATTTTTGGTATGATTTAATGATTAAACATGCATAATACACCTGACCTGTAAATTCCTTAAACATGTCTTTTCTGGTGGTTTCACTTCAATGAAAGGTAAACTTGTAATTATTGCTTAACAATCCAACCTTGACTAATCCCAGTACTTAGCAGTCTGAGAACTGGGAGTTTTTCTATACATCAGGAGACCAACGTTTGAGCTGAATAACATGTAATCTGTGGTCAGAAAAACGTACATAGCCTTTCAATCTCATTAACAAAATTAGTAACAAAAGTTCATTACCTGGAGTGAGAATTATATCGTTTGTCAAGGCAGCGAAATAAATACCTCCCTTGACATAATTGGGAAAAAGGCTTAATTAGTTGATGTGCTGAATTAACAATAAAGCAACTATGAAGTTTGTTGTATGGAGGCAAGACAACTGGTCGATGATCAAGTTTTAAGTCTGAAATATAAACAATATATATTACTTAAGTGCTACAACAACAACTACTACTGCTACTACAACAACTACTGCTACAACAACAACAACTACTACTGCTACTACAACTACTACTACTACAACAACAACTACTACTGCTGCTACTACTACTGCTACTACAACTACTACTACTACAACAACAACTACTACTGCTGCTACTACTACTGCTACTACTACTACTACTACTACTACTACAACAACAACTACTACTACTGCTACTACTACTGCTACTACAACTACTACTACTACAACAACAACAACTACTACTGCTACTACTACTGCTACTACTACTAATACTACAACTACTACTACTACAACAACAACAACTACTACTGCTGCTGCTGCTACTACTACTACAACTACTACTACTACAACAACAACTACTACTACTACTGCTACTACTACTGCTACTACAACTACTACTACTACAACAACAACAACTACTACTGCAACTACTACTGCTACTACAACTACTACTACTACAACAACAACAACTGCTGCTGCTACTACTACTACTATTACTACCATGATGTGGAAACATGTCAATTCATTTTATCATGTAGTGTTTCATGAGTGACTCACTGACTTGGTTGACGCATGTCATCTTATCCCGATTGCGTGTATCGGTGCTCATGCTAGCAATCACTGGATTGTCTGGTCCAGACACAGACCTGCATCTTATAGCTGGAATATTACTGAGTGCGGCGTTAACAGCAACAAAAAAGTCATGAGTGATGTCATTTATGGGCATAGAATCCAACAAATCCACATAATATTAGAAACACGAGGGTGAAAATTGACAAATATTGGATGAAGAAACAAGGAGAAGCACATATTGAATGACCCCTCAACCATCAGCAAATGCAATGTCCTTCAGCTTTTATATACCTGTGAGCAAT